ATTGCAAAGAGGCTATGCTGCACTGTATTGAGCTGTAGCGATGATGTGACGAGAAGAAGAAAGAGCAGGGGTCAAAGTGTAGAATGAGGCGCTCGATATATATAATGCTTAGGCTCGGGGGTGACAAACAGGACAAGCGTTGGGGCCTTGTAGATGTAAAAGTCAGCACACCGACAGCTCACGGCCGCAAGGAGATGGAGCACTGGGGGGGGCAAGTGATGCAGGAGTGACGAGTAGCGCGAGGAAGCGACAGATTAGGGAGCGAGGCTCACGGATTGTTGATCAGGGCTGACGAGTGTGAATGTTTGCAAGGGCACGCAACGCAACGCAACGCAACGCAACGCACCTTTAGCCGGATCAGGGCAGATGCGCACTTCTGACTTGGAATAAGGCGTCATCCATCAAGTCACAAGTCGTGCGTGTTGAGTATGGGCGCTGCTGACCGCCGTACCAGTCACAGTGTCACGGTCAAGTGCTGCCGCAACCCAAAAGAATTTTGTCGGAGCAGCCACAAAGTCCGCAGGCAGGGCAGGGCAGGGCGGGGGCAGTGAGTGACTTGTTCCGAAGTGCGCCCGCCCGGGTGCTCACCTCACGATTGCATGCCTGCGTGCGCGTACTCAATCAAACTCACGAGCGTACGGCCTTAAGCGCCAAAAGGTTGCTGAACGCCGCTCGGGTCGGGTCCATGCAGATCTCATGCCATTGGTCGTCATCATCAGCGTCTCTACTATAGACGGCTCAGCAGTCGTGAGTAGTAGTAGTAGAGTAGTCTTGAGTAGCCAGCAAGCGTGGCATCAGCCTTCTACACAACCGCACGCAGTCAAGACCCATTCCGGCCGCACGCGGAAGGGTTGCCCATGCATCGCGCGTGTTGTACGTGATGGTGCGCAAGGCGTCATCCACCAACGCGATGGCGTGATCGGGCTGGCTGAGTTTGGTGTCTGCGCTTGGTCACGTGTACCTGACCAAACTATGCGCGGCAGCAGTCTTGAGTTTGAGTCTGAGTACCGAGGCGCGGCAGAAACACGCCAAATCGCCTCCGAATTAGAACGCGGGAAATCAAGAATTCTCGAATGAATCTCATCATCTGACGCGTGTGCGTGGGTTGGGGCACCCTTGTTCGCAACTTGATCACTTGTGGTACACGCTCACGACTACGGCTTGATCGCAATCGCAGGAATCACATGGCTTCAAACCGTGAACAGGAAGAGACTCACGGATCGACTTCTTTGTCACCGCCTCCGATGCGCACCAAGCATTCAAATATGTAAGCCCTCGAAACGAGGTTGTTATTACCCTGTGGGGCCTCGAGACGAGAGAGCTTGCCATGCAAAAGCGCGGTAACTTGGATGGGGCATTACTGAATTCGTCAAGCATTCAGGATTCTTGAGTGGAGGTAGTATACATCTCAAAAAGCGTCGCGACTTGTATTCCGAAATCCATTCGCTATCGTCTCTGGGAGCGGCTAGACTGCCATTTTGCGTGGACGGTACAGTGCTCAGCGCATGTGGTGGATGGCTAGGCTATGGGGCGTGAAGGAGTACGTCGGCGGTGGTACAGCAGGCAAAGCAGCGGGTTGAGGCGCAGCTGCATCCGCACTCTCTTCTGTCGTCGCCTCGGATGTAGGCTGTTGCACAAGCGCCGAGAAGTCTGTACGACTGCGACACGAGAGGGAAAAGACAGCAGAATGTCAGTACGACCCGTTCAAGATTGGCGCTAGCGACACTTCGTACGGCGGGCGCCACGCAGCGAGACTTACCACAGAGGGCAGACGGCTCGAGCACATAGCCAAGGGTCTATGCAAGCGGTATGGAAGCGATGCTCGACTCCACCTTCGCAAGGCAATTGACGGACCTGATCGCCCTCGCGAAAGCGAAGAACGCATATAGCGCACATGGTACCGATGGCCGCGTCGACTTCCAATAACGAATCCCGTGTCAGTGTCGGTACGAGGCAAGGCATTTCTGTTGCTTTGGTAGCGTGACAAGTGGACGAGTTGCAAGCGGTGGAGCTGCGGTCGGAGGCTAGGCTTGCGCTTCGAGCGACGGGCGACATGAGAAGACTCTGTTGAACCGGCACAGCGCAAAGCTCA